GAAAATATGGGTGAAGAAGGCGTGGGCAACTGAAACCGCGCTATATGGGTGGGATAAGGGAAGGAAATGAGCATACTTGGAAAAACGATCCACCACCACGAACAAGACCGATTTCCCGCCAACCTTGGGCAGGCCCTCAATGAAGTCCATGGAAATATCGGCCCAGATCTGAGTTGGGAGTGAAAGTGGTTGGAGAAGGCCTGCTGGGTGCAAGTTTTCCCACTTTTGTTGTTGGAGAGTTCTTCTGAATGAAGTCCCGCACCGAATCCCTCATACCCTGCCAGTGGAAATCAGCGTGGATGCGGTGCAATGTTTTTTGGACTCCTTCATGCGTGGAGTTGTGTATGTTGGAGATGACGGAGGGAATTAAGGGACAGTCAGCTAGGAGATATATCCGTCCCTTGTATAGTGCCAACCCGTCGTGCATGGACCAGTTTGGGTTGGTTGTTCCAAACTGTATTTTCTGGACAAGATCGTTCCACTCTGGTGATTGCGGCAATGTGTTCCAGATATCTTCCAGCAGGGTGGCTCGGGGTTGGGAGATTGCATGGAGGAGCATATTGTCTTCTTCTCGGCGAGACAAGGCATCTGCTGCACGGTTCAAGGTTCCCGCCTTGTAGTCCACCCAAAAATCGAAACCAAGTAGTTTGCTGACCCAATGTTGTTGTGGCGAAGTGGTAAGCCGTTGTTCCAACAAATATTTGAGGTTGTAGTGGTCCATCTTGACGACAAAGGACCTTCCCCATAAGTATGGCCTCTAGTGCTGCACTGCCTTAGCCAACCCAATCAGTTCACGTTCGTAGGCGGGTAATTTAAGGTGGCGGTTAGCCAGTTTGCGGCTGAAGAAGGCGACCGGATGTCCTTGCTGCTGTAGTATGGCGCCGATGCCGGTGCCGGATGCATCGCATTCGACTGTGAACTCGAGCTCAAAGTTTGGCAACTGTAGAACCGACGTGGAGGAGAGGGCTTCTCTTAAACTCGCAAAGGCTGCATCGGTTGTATTATCCCAGTGGAAGGCATTTTTCTTGAGCATATTGGTTAGTGGGACCGCCAAAAGTCCGTAATTTTGTAGAGCCTTGGCAGATTGCGGTCTGGGCCATTCCTTGATCGCCTGAATCTTGGAGTCATCCACAGTGACCCCTTGCCCGCTGATCACATGTCCTAAGTAAAGGACCCGGCGTTCCCCAAAGGAGCATTTGGATCGCTTAAGGAAGAGTTGGTGTTGTCGCAGGAGTTCAAAAACGATTCGTAGATGCTGCACGTGTTCTACCCACGACTTGCTATAGACTAGGATGTCGTCAAAGAATACCAAGACAAATTTGTGGAGGTGGGAGTGAAATACCTCGTTCATCAGGGACTGGAACATGGAAGGAGCGTTGCTGAGGCCGAATGGCATAACTAGGAATTCAAAATGGCCATGATGTGTTCTGAAGGCCGTTTTCTCTATATCTTCAGGAGTCATCCGGACCTGGAAGTAACCCGACCAGAGGTCTAATTTTGAGAAGTATCGGGCGCCATGGAGTTCGTCCAATAGCTCATCTACGATGGGGATAGGAAATTTATCCTTGACCGTCCGACTGTTAAGCTCTCTGTAGTCCACACAAAATCTCCAAGTCCCATCTTGCTTGGGTACCAACAGAACCGGAGAGAAGGGGGAGCGACTGGGACGGATGATCCCCTACTGTAACATATCCGCACACTGCCTTTCTATTTCATCCTTTTGTCGGTGTGGGTAGCGATAGGGTCGGACGACGACGGGATCTGATCCGACTAGCAGAGGGATCCGATGATCGCAGGCTCTGGACGGTGGGAGCCCCTTGGGTTCTTGGAATACTGCAGAGAAATCCGTGAGAAGCCTCTCCATATCTGTTGTGCGCAAGTTCTCACCTTGAAGTGTATGCAACTGTGTCTTTGTTCTTATCCTGGTTCCCTGCCATGTAACCGGTTTTCCATCTAGGTGGAATGTCATTGTCAGGGTGCTGAAATCCCATAGGATTGGCCCTAGAGTGATCAGCCACTTGACTCCCAGGACGATGTCGAATTCATCCAAGGAGAGTACGAATAAATCAGCAAGGAAGGATTCTAATCCGACCTAAATTTTGGTGTCCTTGCAGATTTCGGGGCTGTGAACTCTTTCCCTGTTTGCCACGGCTACCTGTAATTGCGGCCTGATTTCCATCGGTAAATCTAACTGATGGACAGCCTGTTCACTGACAAAGTTGTGGGTGCTTCCAGAGTCAACGAGAATGCGTACTGGTTTCCTTGCTACCAACGCCCTTAGTTGCATGGTTTGTGAGGTTTTGATCCTCGTGATTGCATGGAGGGAGATCTCGGGATCTGATGCTGCAAGTTCATCCTCGTCCTCTTCGGGTTCGTCTACCAGAAAACAGAATAGCTTCTTGCACCTGTGCCCAGAGGAGTACAAATCATCGCAGTTGAAGCACTGCCCTCTTGCGTGCCGTTCTGCCATCTCGGCTCGGGACAGTCGTCTAATGGGGGGTGTCGTCCTGCTACTCCCTATACTTGATGCCGATCTGGAAGGGTTCCCAGTAGGGGGCCTCTATTCCCTGTTAGTAGTTGAAGAAGGAGACACTCATGCTGTCTTCGAAGGTGCCCAGGTCGTTGCTAGCCAACCTATACTGAGGGTTCCATGGTGAGCTGCAATTTCCGTTCAAAGGCGCGTGCGAGGTTCATTGCTGTGACTAGGTTGGGAGGGTGTTGCATCTCCACGTCCACCCTTAGGGGTTCTGCTAACCCCGCGGTGAACATATCTACTTGCTGATCTGGGCGTACCGAGGCTGCCCTGGCGAGAAGGGTTTGGAACTGGCGTTGGTATTCTGCCACGGTTCCAGTTTGGTTGAAGTTAATTAACTCGCCCAACGGGTTGCTTGTCAACGGGGGTCCAAACCTGAGGAGGCAATAGGATTTAAATTGCTCCCAACTGAGCCCGGGTTCTTCCTGCTCCAGACATTAGAACCAGAGCTCTGCCTCTTCCATTAGGTGGAAGGCGGCCAGACTGACCTTGTCTTTGTCATCAGTGCGCTGGTTACGGAAGAACTGTTCATAGCGATATAACCATCCTAATGGGTCTCCAGTGTCGTAAGACGGAAATTCTAGCCGACTATACTTGGGAATAACTGTGGCTGTCGGGGCAGCGATCTGATGTTCACTGGACGTCTCTGCCCAGTCCGACCGGCGACTGTTGGTGGTGGCGGTTCCCTCAGAGTTCCTTTCTTTGTTAGAGAAAAACGTTTCTAGCAAGCGTCGCAGCTCCCGGACATCGTCTTTGACCTCACGAACCTCCATGCTGGTTTCTGCGAGCCTATGCTCCAGTTCGTGGACCCAAGATGATAGCGGCTCTAGATCTCCCATGACGGTAGGCTCTGATACCAAGATGTTATGGGCCCGGGCGTAGGATCTCGTCACGGGTCGGTCCACGGGGAGAACCTCTAACTTCCCCTTGCCCCTTCCTTTGCGTGCAGACCCTATTGTGGCAACCTAATGAGTGATTTGTCCAAGAGATCACCCGAACTCTCCTCACTCTTCCCATGACTCAAAAAATGAATGCCTTTATTCCCAATTCACAGCTCCTTAAATAGGAGATTACAAGAGGTGACTCCTTATTGAATTCGACTAGGCTAGCATAATCCAACTTTAAATCAAACTCCTACTTCTAATAGGTAAACAAACTCCTACTAAGAATAGAAAACAAACTCCTATTTTTAATAGATAAAGTAAGAATAGATGGGATAAGGTAAGCTGGTGGAGAGCTGGCACGATAAGCTGTCGTGGCAAGATAAGTTGCCGCGTGGGCCCCTCCTCATTGCTGTTGCCGCCCTCCTCATTGCTGCTGCCGGCGGCAGTATGTCTTTCCCACAAATGCATCCATAACAAACTGCACCAAGCCACAATCACAACACGTGCAATTTGTTGATGATACAATTTTGTTCTGTGGGAAAGGAGATAGAAGGTGGATTAGAAACTTGAAATTAGCTATGCAATTATTTGAGCAAGTAGCAAATCTGAAGGTAAATTTTGATAAGAGTTGTTTAGTGGGAATCAATGTAGAGGAAAGGGAAGTGGCAAAGAGTGCTGACATTCTAGGATGTGGGGTGGCTCAATGGCCTTTGAAATATTTGGATTTACCCTTGAGAGATAATCAAAGAAGAGTAGTTTTTGGGACCTTGTTGTAGAAAGGTTTGAGAAAAGACTTGCATCTTGGAAGAAAAATTACCTTTCATCAGGAGGTAGGATTAAATCAACTAACTTTCATTCATCAAAAAAAAAGGATTAAATCAACTTTGACTAATTTGTTTGAGTATTATATGTCTATCTTTAATATGCCAAAGAGAGTGGAGAAGCAGTTGGAAAAGACAAAAAGTTAAATGAGGGATTTCTTTTGGGAGCCAAGTGAGGAGAAGAGGGATCATAGAGTTAGATGGGAAGTAGTAAGTAGAAGTATGGGGGTTTAGGTTTAGGAAATTTGCAGAAGAGAAACGTGGCTTTAATGGGCAAATGGCTTTGGAGATTACCTGATGATAGGGATAAACTATTAGGAGTGCTCATGAAAAACCGAGAAACCGAACCGGAAAAAGTAGTTAACCGAACCGACCGATATATGTATATATATACATATATATATATATACATACATATAAACATATATATACACACATACATATATATATATATATATATGTTTTAACTTTTAATATATATACATACATATATATATATATATGTTTTAACTTTTAATATATATACATATATATATATATATGTTTTAACTTTTAATAAAATTTATAGATATTTTAAACTTTTAACCATTGAACGGTTGAAGTGTTGAACACCAAACGCCGAACAGTATTCATCCCTGAATAGCAAATGCATGCAGAAGACTCTATCCCTCACTCTCTAATCCTAATTCTCCATCACATACCTGGTCGTTGTGTATATGTACAAGAAATGTCTTCTATCTCACTCTCTAATCTCCATCATGGTACCTGATCATTGCCATTATCTCACTGTCTCTATACAACAGCAACTCTTGGTTATTCTTTCTCAGTCTTGGAGGTAACTGGTGACCCAATCCTCCTATCCTTGACTCTATTTACTCTAATCTTGTTTATGCTTTCCCTTTTTTTCCTTTTGATCCAGTGTACTTTGTTTCAATGCTTTCGTTTTTTTTTTCATGCAATGCATTCCTTCTATTTTGTGATTAACAAGATTACACAGTGGTGTTCTCGGAGAAAACTGTTTTTTTTTAATATTTTAAATGGAAATAGCAACATAATAAAAAACCAAAAAATGGTAAACCGGTTAACCGATTGCTTCAGTTTGGTTTCGGTTTGGATTTTTAATAAACTGAATGGTTCAGTTCAGTTTCAAAAAAAATAGCCATGGTTCTGTTATTTCTTTCCTATAGCTGTTATTAAGTACCAAATATAATCTTTTAGATCTCTTTTATAGGTTTCATTATCTTCTAAGCCTTATCCCATGTCAGCTACATGAATCTTGTTCTGCCATTAAGCTCTGTTTACCTCTTTTATAGGCTTAAAAATATGGACTATTTTAATAATTTGTACTTTTCTATAGACCTGTCCACAGATCCTTGATTCTTCATCTTGGTAAGTCAGATTCCTGGATACACATCAGGTTCTGATTCCCATGTCTGTGTCCATGTCCATGTAAAATTGTTAAACATACAACATTCAAACTAACTTTTACCAATACATACAAATTATTTTTATGTAAATACAAGCATATATATTTAAATATTATCATATTAGGGTGGATCCATAGTTAACCCAACTATAAACAGATAGAAATTGGACTGCATTGGATCAGATTTGTATTCAATTTCAGATAAATGTAGACCACTTGCAGCCCTAACAACATTAGCAAAGCCAAAATTATGAACAAAAATGTAATAAACAAATAAGTAAACCAGTAATTATAAAGAACAAATGCATTTCATTGTAGTTGAACAAAACCAATTAGAGGTAAGATCATCAAATACAGGGAAAACATTTTATCATATTGTCTAATCCACAAGGCAAGCTGCAAACTATAGTTGTCAAGGCGGCGCCTAGGCATGTAGGTGCTTTTTGGGTCTCACCTCGCCCAAACGCCATATGATATATCTATAACATGTTATAATTTTTGCATATTTAATATTTTTTTATATTTTAAGTCTATAATATAAATATAGACATGATAGACTGAAATTATTTTTATTTCTTTCATATTATAATAAGTTTTTTATTAATTTCTTATCCTTTTAAGGTTTATGATAGATAAAATATTCGAAGATGAGTTCTGAGAGAGATGATATTCGAAGACGAGTTCAAGAGATATCCTTGTCAAGTTCCAAGTTGTATGTCTTTGAAAAAGAAGGGACAAGCTCAAGATAATTTCTTATCTTTTTCTTGATTAGGAACAAAATCAGGGGCTCCGCCCCTTCTTTTTCTTGTTTTGGAAGAAAAACAGGGGCTCCACCCTCCGCCCCTTCTTCTTTCCTCCTCTCCTCTTCTTTTTCTTGTTTTGGAACAAAAATAGGGGTCTGTTTCTTTTTCTGGAAGAAAGATAGGGAGTCTGCCCTTCTGTATTTCTATTTCAACGGCAAAAATAGGGGGTTCATCCCCCTTTTTATTTTATTTTTCTTTTAGACATTAAGCGATGCCTAGGCGACCAGGCGACTAAGCGCTCCCCTGTCTCCTAGGTTCGCCTTGGCGCCTTGAAAACTATTTTGCAAATTGACTCATGATATAATAAAACAGAGGATACCTATTTCAGGGAGTCTTAAATACCTGTTAGGCCAAGAGTTCTTAGATCCCAAAGCAACAAATGGTTGTCTGTACCTCCAGTGACCAGTCGACATTTTCTTCTCAGTAAAGCAGATGCTAAAGCTTGGGCATTTCTCTTCACCTGTTGAATATATGCTTTATACTCAGGAGTAGCCACTTGCTTTAAGGCTATTGCAAGAGAAGCAATGTGGTTATTGTGAGGTCCTCCTTGCATTGATGGAAAAACAGCAAAGTTTATCTTTTCTTCAAAATCATAATGGTCATTTTCATCTCCTTGACTTGGAAGCATCCCACGCTTCCTTGGCTTTCTGCCTTTTCTGTAAAAAATTATACCTCCTCTAGGTCCTCGGAGACTTTTGTGGGTAGTGGATGTAACAAGATCACAGTAATCAAAGGGGCTTATGCATTCCTGTAAAAAAGGCACCAGAACATGATATAAGAAACGGCATGATCACGGTAAAAGAAAAAAGGAAGAAAAAAGAGTTATATTATTAGACCATTACCATTCTAAATTGCTTCTTGACAATTTAGAATGACTTTCTTTCTAAATTGATGTCTTTCTTTCTATTAATAATACTAAATGTATTGTATCAATATCAATATCAATATTAAGTGCAAATATTGATGCAGAATCAAGGCCAAGAAAGGGAAGCTAAATCCATTCTTCTCCCTAGGTCTGTATAGGCCTTCAAATGGCTCTCATGATGAACTAGGGGGTAGTGTCTGTTTGGGAGGGCTTTCATGCAGTGGCTTTTGCCTTTGTAAGGTGGGCTTTCATGCAGTGGCTTCAGCTAAAAAATTGGCTTTCTGGTGAAGCTTGCATTAGTAGCTTCTTAAAAGCGGCTCAGTGAAAGCAGTTCAATCAAAGCTTCAGCCCTCCCAAATGGACCCTAGGTATCTCTCGTAGTTCATGTTAGTCTGACTTAATACTATACCCCCGTAAAGTTGCACCAGCAAGCACAAGCCCAAGAAGTTGTTGAGTTGAGCCCAAAGCCTACTAGCAAATCCAGAAAAACAATTTAGGATTTTCCAACTCAAGTGACTGACCTGTCCCTATTACACAGGGTCCAGGACTGCATTCTCAGTCCAAATTGTCAATTAGGGAGTCTGGAAATCTGCATCCAGGGTTGGAATTGGTTTTACCCATTCTAAAATGATTTAAGGCCTGAAATTAGTAATGACTTGCATATATGCATATGCAAATACATCTCACTGTAAGAAAAATGTATTGTTCTGAGGGATATCGAGATTCAGTCCCCAATTCATAGTTTGTTGACCAATCCTTCCTAATTTGCACTTTTTGTTGATTAAGTTTCTTTTGCAATTCTTTACATAAGGACCAAGAAAAGACTGGATTCAAACATACACAGGCAAATTTTTGATAAAACTCCAAAATGGTATTTTCTTCTGACCCAATCCTTTTTTCTCCCCATACACATATATATTAACATATATATTATATATTTTATGTAAAAATGGAAATATCTTTCATATTGGAAAGGCATGATACCAGAAGAACTTTGACCAATCAAAACTCCCCATAAATTTTGACAAATATCAGCTTATTCCTTACCACTTTTATGATAGCATCTGATTGGTTATATAGCACATGAAAAAGATACCTCCAATGGTTTATACATATTTGTCATTGCTTACCTGTAATAACTTCATTTATGATTGTGATGTCTTAAACTATCATTTTAGAAGTAATATATAAGATATTATGAGAAGAAAACGCAATAGAATTAGTAGGTTTACTGTCAAACTACAGGGACAAAGGCTTGTCAGTTATAAATAATCAGGTCTAATCAGGCCAAATCTGACAAACCCAATTAATAATAGGGTCAGATCTGGGTCTAGTACTTGCAGGACACTATAGGATCTCTGTTGGGACTGGATCTGTGTGTTTCTTATTGCTTTGGGACCTGGCCTACCCTGACCAAGCCCAAAATCCTCCCAATTCTAGTCTATGAACACATGTGCTAGTGCCCAGTCCACTCCACTAACAGTGACAAATATCAGCAACAAGCTTGCCTTTATCTTGAACCTTTCCTTCAAAGATATGTCTGTTCCTTTCTCTCCAGATACCCCAACAAACAGTAAAATGGATGATATTCCAGATATTTTATCACTTCACTACTTTCTAATCAAGGCCATCTGTGAATATCTCCTTAAGTTGATAAATTTCTAATTTAGTGACCAGAAACAAAGCAAAAAAGAACAGCTATATAATATAAACTCCATAGTGCTAAAATGGATAAATAGGTTCAAATGCATCATCTTAATGATTAGGGATGAGCAAAAAAACCGAAAAACCGAGCCGACCGAAACCGAACCGAAAAATCACTTAACCAAACCGATCAGTTCGGTTTCGGTTTGATGTTTTCAAAAAACCGAAAGTTTCGGTTCAGTTTCGGTTAACCATTTAAAAAAATCGCGGTTAACCGAACCGACCGATATATATTTTTATATAATATTATATATATATATTATATTTTATTTTTTTAAAAAATCAAATAAAAACATTCGACAGTCTGAGAGTGTTCAGACTGCCGAACTGAGAGCTGAGACAGGTTCGCCAGTCTGGCACCCGCTGGCTGCCAATCTGAGTCGTTTGACAAACTAACACCCGTTGGCCACTGCACAGGCCTTCTTTTTCTTTCCCTCTCTCTCTTGGACTCTCTCATACTCTCCCTCTCTCTCTCTCTCTCTGAACTCTCTCTCTCGCTTCTCAGTCTCTCTGAAATCTCTCTCTCTCTCGCCTCTCAATCTCTCTCTAAACTCTCTCTCGCCTCTCAATCTCTCTCTGTACTCTCTCTCTTGCCTCTCAGTCTCTCTGAACTCTCTCTCTCTCTCTCACCTCTCAGTCTCTCTCTCTCGCCTCTCAATCTCTCTCTGAACTCTCTCTCGCCTCTCAGTCTCTCTCTGAACTCGCTCTCTTGCCTCTCGGTCTCTCTGAACTCTCTCTCTCTCTCACCTCTCAGTCTCTCTCTCACCTCTCAGTCTCGCCTCTCAGTCTCTCTCTGAACTCTCTCTCACCTCTCCTCTTTCTGAGCTCTCTCTCTTGTGTCTCAGTCTCTCTCTGAACTCTCTCTCTCTCACCTCTCGGACTCTCTCTGGTTCCGACCTTTGGCGCTCTGCCCTCCAACCGATTCACCAACAGCTGCCGACACCAGCGATCCGCGACACTGGAGGCTCGACTTACTGGTTAGAGGCTAATGCATCTCGGCGACACTGGCGATCCCAGTTACCGTGTTTTTCCTTTTTTTTTTAATTTTAAGGGCATAAAAAAACCGAAAAACCGAACCGCAGTTAATCAGTCGGTCGACCGATTAACCAATTGTATCGGTTCAGTTTTGGTTCAGTTGAATGTAAAAACCGAACCGAAATTACCCCACGGTTCGGTTAACCGAACCATGAACACCCCTATTAATGATCATTACAAATTAAGCAAAGGCTTGAAAGCTGGAAACCTCTAACTTTTAATAGATTCAAGGTAAGAAAACTGTCCGTTTTTTTGTCTGAGTTAGAAAACTGTCCATAGAAAGTAACCTGCTCGGCCTCGCCCCTTGAAGGAATAGGGTTTTTTTTTATAGATATTGAAGGAATAGGGTTTCCCCAAATACCATTTGTACTGCTGACTTTCACCTGCTCTTTTAAAAAGACTTGACTGCAAATTTCCCACCTCTGCATTCTTTCCACCATTTCTTATCAGGTTTGATTGTTTCCATCTTTACTTTTTCCAACTTAGCAAACAAGGCAGCATACTCTTCTAGTTCTCTTTTCCAATAGTGGGCATCTGAAAATTGGGCACCATACAACCTGATCCCCTCTCTTTTGAAGGACACTTCTTAAATACCTCTAAGTTCTGTCCAGACCCCTTTGATGATTACATGTATGCAAAGTGTCAAAACTACAAATGCTAAGGGCTTTGTGGTTCATATCCAGATTGATAATAGACCCTTCTCAACCTATCACTTTCCTTTACATTTCATATTTTGTTCCATTAGACTGATTTGCTCACACCCAACCATCATTGCAACTTTGACTTTAATACTCTATCTTAAGGTTAACCCTTATTTTTCCCTCTTTTTTGATGAATAGTGAAGCAATTTTATTAATAGAACAAAGCATAATGCAAGAGTTCAGTCATCCCAGAGTTTGAGATGACCAAGACCCAAAAAGAACAACCAGTTAGAAGCCAATCCCCCAACAACAATTATAAATCAAACCCCAAGCCAGAAATTCAATACATCATGCCTTAAGCTAGTGGACTTGGCACTCGCAGTCTGAATCCAAAAGTCTGAGAAGAACGGCCGTGGAAGCAATGTCAATGGTTGCAAAGAGACAGCAAGGAGGAAGAAGTGGAAAGAGAGAATAAGAGGAGAGAGAGAATATACGGATGTTCTCCCCATAATGGGTTTATTGTGTTTTGCTCTTAATGGGTCCCCATGTAGGCATGGTGCCCCTATTTATGATGCTTTTTTTGGATTTCCCACATTCTAGAATCTTCTTATATTTTTTTCCTTGAACATTTTACCCTTTAATTGATATTCCAGAATGTTCTAGCACTAATTGATGCAAATGGCTCTAATTAAATGAATAATTGATTTAAACCAGTCCTGTCTGACTTGGGTTTATGCCGAGCTAACCAAGTTATAAATCCAATGTCTTACATAGGCAATAGTCCCACCTCCCTACAATAGATACTCTCTTTATACCCCCTTCCTAGATACAAGCCATATGCTGGTCAATAACCCTCATTCTCCCTTAGATGCTCATAAAACCTTACCATTGATTTCTGGAGTGGATATTTTCAGCCAATTCTCTACAAGTCTAGCATCATTTTTGGTTTTAAAGCTTATGGTGCATTACTATGCATTCACAAAGTTACCAATTTTCGAGAGTTTTTTTTTTTTTTGATAAGTAAGAAAATGTGTGAACTCCATTAGGCTCTATCTTATTTGTTAATTGAATATTACTCTGGATCTTTTTTTATGAATAAAAAAATCATTAGTTCAGAACTTGAAACTAATACAATAGCCCTTGAAGAGGCAGGAGCTGCAACCTCTCCCAACAGATTAGAAAGAGACAAAAAACAGGTTACATAACGACTAAAAACACACATTATAGCTGAACCCAAAACATAACTTCCCTATTTGCCCCTTGCTTGGCTAAGCCATCAGCCAAAGCATTTGCTGATCTCCCTACTAACTGTATCGTTACAGACATATTCCTTGTCAGCCACTTAAATTTCTAGATTTCATTCTTATAGCACCATAGAGCATCCTCAAGGTTCTTCAACCACCCCACCACCACCATGGAATCCCCTTCAATAAATAGTTGTCCCACACCCAATTGATTTGCTAATTACACTACTTGTAAGGCAGCTAGCAGTTCTGCCCTAACAGAATCCCCAAACTCCAAAGGACCCAAATAAAGAAATACAACCTCTCAAAACTCCTCCCATTCCAAAGAGCCCCTAGGTTGCCCTGACTGCTTCCATCAAAATTCAGCTTCAATGAACCTTCAGAAAGGGAAACCCACCTTGTAGTAGCTACCCTATTCTTAATGGAGCACCTTGCTACTGCTAACCAATGCCTCCATAAATCATTAAAGGAAAATTGATGGAAAATTTCCAAAGTCTTTAACCAATGTAATGCCCTATTCAGCACATATTCCTTCAAATTTTGATTGCCCCTCTCCTCTTGGAAGATTCTAGCATTCCTTTCTTCCCAGATTATCCAAACCAAAGCAGCTTTGGCACATCTCCACAGAATTCCTCTTTTATTAGGTCAAATGAAGGTAGGAGGATTAAAGATCATGCTTACTTCTAATGGCACACTTCACCTGCACCCAAGCATCAAAAAAAGCCAATCCCATAACTCCACAGTAAAAGAACATGAAATTAGTAAGTGGTGGCAATCCTCACCACGAGATCTGCAAAAAGTACACTAGTTAGGTGAAATACAAAGGAAAGGTCTTTTCTACTGTAGATTATCTAAAGTGTTTACTTTCCATTGGAACACTTCCCAACAAAAAACCGTAATCTTAGGGGAAACCGGCCTGCACCAAACTTCCTTAGAAGGGAAAACCTATTGAGAAGAAAACTGGCAAAGGGACTCCAAAAAAAGAAGTACAAGAGAAAGTCCCTTTGGACCTAGGAACCCAAACCCTTTTGTTTGGCTCAAAAGGATCCAAACAAACCTTAACGAGGAGACAAAGCAAATTAGATAGGCGTCTGATTTCCTTATCTCTTAACCCCCCATGGAAACACTTCCCAACAAAAAACCATAATCTTAGGGGAAACTGGCCTGCACCAAACTTCCTTAGAAGGGAAAACCTATTGAGAAGAAGACTGGCAAAGGGACTCAAAAAAAAGAAGTACAAGAGAAAGTCCCTTTGAAACTAGGAACCCAAACCCTTTTGTCTGGCTCAAAAGGATCCAAACAAACCTTAATGAGGAGACAAAGCAAATTAGATAGGCGTCTGATTTCCTCATCTCTTAACCCCCCATGGAAGCCAAAGTCCCGATTCGGAGCCAAAAGAGTTTCCAAAGGTGAGAAGTTTTGAGACAACCTCTTTTCTATACAAAGAGACAGAGAAAAAGGAAGGGAAAAGGTCCTTTAAAAAGAAATGACAGATCGTATTGATAGGAGACACTAAAATATTAAAAAGAAAGGGCCCCAATAGAACTATATAACACCCACAAAATTGAAAGCAATAAACCAAACTAAAGGTCTCTATACATTGTTAGGAAGTAATCATCATCATCATCCAAGTTAGGAAGTTATCTAAATAAAGCCAATAAAACATAAAAGAAAGCAAAAATGAATGAAGTAGACTCAATATAATTCAAATCCAGCATAAGCTGCACCCTTTCACACCAAATCTTGATTTTCATATAAGGGTAGAGATTAGCAAGATGGCAACATCCATACAAATGGTATCATTTATGTTAACACATGGAATTTAGACTAAACCAATTTTCCTCCAAATCTTTCCATACAACAACAAGAACTAGATCAAGGAATAGAAAACTAAGTAGATAGATGTGGACACTTAAATATAAGAAATTAAAAAAGAAGCAGAGTCCAAAATGCAAAACCCCCAAAAGAGAGAGAGGTAAGTTCAAGGTGATATCCAATGACATGTATATGGTAATATAAACTACAAAAATCTAATCAAAAATATATAATTAACATAAAGGCATATATAATGTTATTCTAAATAGTTAGCTATATACACAGACAAATAAAACTAATATTTTCCAGCTAGATCTTAATGAGATTGAATCATGGAGGATCCAAATTTGATCTAATATAACCAAATATACAATTTGATATCATTATCCTGCTTAACCAAATCAGATTAAAATTGGAACTGGATCATGAAACTTCAGAAATAAACTTGTTGTCTACTAATTTGACTAGTCATAGTCAATCTGGTCAATACCTAGTCATCTCACAACTACATTGTAGGTATTGATTGATTAGTGAATGGTTAAGACAGTAAGCCTCAATTGACTAGTTCGTTAACTACTTGACACAGAGGCACCACAAATCAAGTGAGTTGAAAAGGCTGCCTATTCTTTCCAATAGATGCCAAACTATTAAAGTGTGTCATCTCTAGTTTTCACTGACAATAGGGAAGCATCAAAGAATAAGTTTCTTAACATGGCACAACATCTAAAATCAAATCAACTTTAATTCTAATAAGAATAGTTGTCAAGGCGACACCTAGGCAACAAAGCGCCCATGGATGGTTGCCTCTAGGGGTGCAAGTCAGGCAGGTTGGGCCAGGTTTATGGTCAACCCGAGCCCGGCCCTAAAATTTGGACTTAAGGCCTGAGTCCAAACCGAGCCCGAGGTCAAACCCGATTTTCCCAACCTACACTATAATTTGATGCACTTAGGTTGGGCTCGGGCCAGGGCCTGGGCCTGGGCCGGGTTGGTCAATGAACCCACTATAAAATTATGCATACATACATACATATATTTATGTACATATGCAAATATTTATACATATATTTATGTATATATGTAAATATGTATGCAAAATAGGTATTTATATAGGTAAATATGCATACAAATGTTAAAATGAATATATATACAAATATGTATGTACTACATATTTACATATATACATATGTATTTATGAATGTGTATAGTTGGGTCGGGTTTGGGCTACCTAAGGGCTAGGCCTAGGCCCAGGCCCAGCCTGAAAAATTAAAAAGCCCGACTTCTTGAGACTAAGCCCGGCCCAAGGACTGAAAATCCAAGCCCAAACCGTGTAAAATCTTGGTCTGGGCCCACCCTACTTGCCTCACTTAACCCCACCTATTTTTTCATGCCACTATGAAGCACTTTTACATTCTTTGTTTTTTGATATTATATCAATTAAATAGATATTGTTAAACTAAAATATACATTTTGTAGGTTGAGATGCTAGATGCTTCTTACTATTTTTTTAGTTTTTAGGGTTCAATCAACACACATGTTGATGTCTGCTGTCTTGAACCCTCAAAGACTCAAAAAAATGAACCAATAAGAAGGGAAGAGCTTAAAATTCTGTCCAATCAACACGTTCTTTATCATAATCATCTTCCTTTTCTTCTCCTTCTTCCACCCCACTTTTTTCCTTTTCCTAGACAAAATAGGTGCTCATCCCCTATATTTTCTGAATTTTCTTTTCTTTCTTCTTTCTCTTCTCATAAATATGTTGGTTTTCTATGTTTTATTATAAAGCCTATACTTTTTTATGAAGTTTACAGACAATTATCAATGAAAGATGGTTGCTGGTTGCTATGGAACCTAGGGAATTAAACAAGGATTCATGGTTTCTGGTTTCTATGTAAAAAATTCCATCACCTAGGTGACTAGACGACAAGGCGCCCTTCTATTGCCTAGCTTTGCCTTGGCACCTCGAAAATCATGCTAGCAAGGGAATTACATAACCTGTTATTATCATCAACCAGTTACACAATTTTGAGAATGACCATGCACCAACCTCCCCAAATTTGTGAAAAGATGAGAAGAAAACTGATACAGCTAATATACACATACATGGAAGAAATTTGAAGCACAGATAGAATAACAATCAATAAATAAACTATAAATACATTAATAGAATACTGGCAGAAGTCGAACCTTAGCAGCAATTAGACCACTGATATGAGCCATGTCACACATAAGAATAGCTCCACATTTATCCGCAATCTGTCTGAACCTCGCATAATCCCACTCTCGGGGATACGAGCTCCCTCCACAAATGAGTATTCTAGGACGGAAATCAATTGCTCTTTCCTCAAGTTTATCATAATCAATGTATCCTGTGAGTGGGTTCACCTTATAAGGCAGACTCTCAAAAAAGATGGATGCACCGGAAACCTTCTTTCCACTAGGTGTGTAGTAACCATGGCTTAAGTGTCCTCCTGATGGGGAATCCAAACCCATGATCCGATCCTTAGGAAGGAGAAGACCGGTATAAACTGCAAAATTTGCTGATGTACAAGAGTACGGCTGAACATTAACTCCCCAATTCTCGGGGTTGAGACTAAAAGCTGCCAAAGCTCGTTCGCAGCAAAGCGTCTCGATCTGATCGATGAACTGATTACCACCATAATATCTTGCACCCGGCATTCCTTCCGAATACTTGTTAGTTAAATGGCTGCCAAGAGCTTCTAGCACTGCACGGCAAACGAAATTCTCAGAAGCTATCAACTCAATTCCTTTGAACTGCCTCTGTTTCTCATTCTCCATAATCTCAAAAATTTCAGGATCAGCAACACAGAGTGGCTGATTCCCCCAAGCGCGTACTGCAGCTATCCTCGATTCAAGCCCGGGTTCGATCGAGGCCTTCTTCGAAGGATTAGAAGAAGACGAACACGATGAAGATTCCCCGTCCCTTCGCCTCTTCAAACACAACGGATGACCCAAAAGACTGAACTCCTCCTCTTCCCTCTGTTCATCTTCCTCTTTCTCTGCATCTACTACAGCCTCATCTCTTCGTTTCTCTGGCTGCTCAAGCAGTTGCAACGGAATGGAAGGCCCCGAATGCGATGGACATCGAAAGCTCGAATCAATCTGTAACGAGATCGAGTCATCGGCAATTGGCGCTCGAGGAACCGGTGAATCGTGCGGATGAAACCCTAAGGAAAGGCCCGATTCTGCCTGTGATAGATCCATAGAAAAACACGAAGTATGAAGAACAACAACAACAAAAAAAAAACCCTAGGCAATAAAAATTCGATATTTTCGTTCTCAAATTTAGAAAAATTCAAAGCCGAGAGCAACAGTAGCAACAACAGAAACAGCGACAGCAGCGTCCGGAGCAAATGCAATAGCAGTATGGGAAGGTCGAATGGGGAGAGACGGAAAACGAAGCAGGAGCAGACGCTTCCATGGAACTTGCAGAAACCCCAACTCTAATGGCTGAAGTGACTAAGGGAAAATGAGGGAAGGGTTAGACAAAGAAGGAAGTTCAATGAGAGCGACGAGAGCAGATGGAGACGGAGACGGACAGATTCGGGCGCTGCAAGCATGCACCTGGTTGAGATTTCGGAGTGAGTGTACGGTCAAATCTGTAAGGTTACCGGTAATAGCCGGTTGTGGAAAATCGTGAAGGACACGTGTAGCTCGTACGTTAAACAGGAAATGAATAACCGAACTCCTCCAGTCCTCCTCCCTCAAGGACGGAATAGCGGGTAGGTTCAGAACTTCGGACGGGGTTGGCATGCTTGTCGGGAAGTGGGAGCCACATAATCTAGACTCCGGGGTAGACTCGTAGCTGTTCGAATTTGACACCTAAAGAAGGTGCGAAGGGCGATTTCTGAGGTAAATTGGGTTTGATACAGTAGAACTGTAGAAGAAAGCTACATAATTGTGAGGTTTTCGCAGCAAAACAAAAGATCCCGATCTAAAGGCGCATGATGTAGGAGAAGGATTTTATTGGGTGTAATGAATTCATAAAACAAAATGGAGATTGTATCTGGGTTTTATTGAGCTGTCACAGGAATAGCAAAATTTTTGGGTGAAACTATTGGCCCAGGCCCAGCTCAGAAAATTTTGGACTTAATGCATGCTGGTCCAGGCCTGGGTTAGGTCTTAAGACGCAAAACCTAGGCGCAAGCCCGGAAATTTCTACCTCGAGAGCCTTTAACTATGGTAACAAATTAAATTCCTAAAAGAGACGTGTGTTCTCTTGGAGTATATGAAAAGCAAGGAATAGACTTATTTGCACTAATGAAGATCTTGGAGATGCTTAGGTGTTATAGCTAATATATAAAGAATGCACTAACGCCATGTTTGGGAATGCTTAAAAATAAATGCTTATTTGGGTCGAGATTACACCATTAAGCACTTATTGGTGTTTGGAAAATAAGCTCAAATTAAGTGCTTATTTTAAAATAAGGGTTATCTTTTTAAGCCTAAATTTCCAGTTTTTTTTAAGTGCTTGTACAATATGCACTTATTCAATTTTTTTCTTCTAAAAGTATCCCTAGTTGAATTTTAAAATACCACTTATAAAACTATCCTTAGTTGAATTTTATTAAAAGTACTTTCATAAAAGTGCTTTTATTCATAAAAGTACTTTCATAAAAGAGCTTTCGTAAAATTTGAAAGACTATGAATGACAAAATAATCACAAATGCTTATTTAAGTGCTTATCGGAGAAAAAGACTATCAAACGCCCAATATCAAATAATTGCTTTTCTTAAAATGGAAAATTTCAATTTAATACCCTGAACCTTGGGGTAATGTCAAGAAGAATTGACAGGGTGATTGGATCAATGGCCAAGAAGATTTCTTTAACCATACTGCAAATTTCTTATAAGATTTGTACATACACCAATTCTGGTAGTATTGGTGTACAAATAGGCTGTCAATTAAACGACTATTTACTTTGGAGGAAATAAAAATGGTTCTAAATCAAATGGTCCCTTCCAAAGCTCATTATATCTTATATAATCTTCTTAATATATATCTCTTTTTTCCAAAAAAAAACTAAGTTATTATGTGTAAATTGAGGCAGCCCCTTGAATTCTTCAAGTCGGAGAATATCTATATCTATACTATTATAATAGTACTAATGAGGTATTAGATTTATGAAATTTTTGTTAACTAAAATATCCCTCCTCTTGAATTTGGTTTATCTTCATTGAGAAGGCAGAAAATGTAATTCAAAATACACTATTAAGTATATTCAATTACCTCTCATTAACTATCATATTTAAGTCATTAAATAAATCTCATTCTCTCTCTCGTTGAATTTAACATTTAAGTTACTTTTGTTTCTCATCACTAAATTCCACTAATAAATTCATACACGATAATATTCATATAATGAAATTTTATATTTTTAAAAATAAACCAAGAAATGAAACCATATTTTCCATCTAAGTGGTGATGGGTAATTAGTTGGTCAAATGGATAATTCCATGAAGTCATAAGTAAATAATAAAATTTAGAAATATAAAAATACAAAAACATAGAAAATAAAGAACTTTTTTTAAAATAAAATTGGACACATTTCTATTATTATATATTTGTCATATTAAAAAAAGATAAATATGATAAAATAGACATAATTTTATTAATGATGGATTGGAGTATACAATTTAAAACTAATGAGAATTGAAACCATTTTCCCATCTAGGGGGCGAGTTAGTGGTTCAACCTTTCAAGTTAAATGGGTCAACCTATGATATATACTTAAAAAATGAAAATTTTAAAATAGAACAATACAGCAAATTATGAAACAATTATGGGAACATCTATAATATTATATATTAATCATATAAAACAAAAATAAGTGTGATAAACAAGAGTTATTTTTATGAATGATATAAATGAAATACAAAATTTAAAACCAAATCTAAAAATGTAAAGCATTTTCATATCTAGATGGCAGGTCAACGGTCTAAGCTTCTAGGTCAAATGGGTCAATCTATGATGTCATAACTAGGTAATAAATATTAAAAACATATATATAAACTCAAAGACAAATATAAACTTTGTTTAATACATTTTGATACATTTGTAATGTCATATATTCATCATATTAAATAAAAATAAACATGAAAAATAAGAATTACTTTTATTAATGATGGAAATGGAATACAAGATTTACAATCAACCAAAAAAGAAAAATAGTTTTTCCCATGCAAGTGGTGGGTTAGTAGTTCAACTATCCATCTCAAATGGCTTGACACATGATATTATAATTAAATAACAAAATACATAAGGCTGTGTTTGGTTGTAATGCAAATAAATTTGCATTGATGCAAAACCATGGCAGTGCAAATGATTTGACTATAAATTTTGACCTATTTTTGTTTCAAATTTTAGCTTATTTTGTTTGATTGTAGTACAAATGAAGTAAATCAAACCATGAAGCAGAATAAAGTAAAATCCAAAATAAAATTAGACAAGAATTTGCATTTTTTACATTTGCACTCCCATGCATTTGTACCGGTGCAAATAAATTTGCAGTGCAACCAAAGACATCCTAAAGTTCTAAAAATGTAGAAATTTGTATAGAAATTTGGGCATATTCTATAATATTATATATTCATCATATAAAATAAGTGTGATAAATGAAAATTATTTTGATTAATGATGGAAATGGGATAAAAATTAGGAAAAAAAATAAAGAGCGCTAATGTCTAACAAATGACCCCACTAACCATGTCAAATAGTTTAGTGGTTTAATTATTTAGGTTACCACAACCAAGTGGTTTGGTGGTAAATGGACCTATAATTCTAAATTGGGTGACAGATTGATCAATCTAGTCAATTGATTTGACCACAATATTCAAACAATATATTGCAATTGCATTTCCTCCTAGTAAATGAGTAACTTTTATTATGTCATAAATTAAATAATTACAAATAAGAATATAAAAATTCTTTATAAATTTTATAAAAAAATTAAACATACCATTAAGAATATGTTTGAAAATGAGAATTATTGTTAGCAAAGATGAAAATGACTAAAAATAAATTAATGTCTTAACCATGGTCCATTGACCTAATCAAATAGGTTAGTGATTCAACCAATAAGGTCATTTGGTTGTTGACTAAGTCAATGATTTTTTTTTTCAAAAAAATGGTTTAGGTTAAAACATATATACTAAAATATATGTCTAAGTGACAAACTAATAAATCCAACTGTTTGGTTCAACCACAAGTTGGAAACATTGATACAAAGCATAAAAACATTTGAAGTTAGGTCTTTAGGTTGAAAGATAATATATCGACCAGTACACCATGTTTTATTGATCACTTTTCTTTGTTACATGAATTTTAATGAAAACACTAAAATATTACTATCATCATCATTTGAAAATGCCACGTGCAATGTACGTGCACATTTACTAGTGCTGAAACAAACTAAATTATACCTTTATTGCTATCATCTCCAAGACCAAGAACCCTAAAAATTTGCTTAATTAGCTTATGTAAACTCTTTTCCAAGTAGCTATTAATCTTATCAATTGTATATTTGATTGGCCCATAATAAAGTGCATTTATTATTGGGTGACAAACTTGGGTTTCAGATATGTAATAAAAAAGATGACAAAATAGTAATAAAAAGTACAAAATTAAAGGAATGTTAATGGTAGGAGCAAATCTTGCAATCTGAAAATATGAGATAACTCTTTGTCGCAAATGAAGGTTGGGGGACCTAATATTACTAGTGAAGTTTGTTATCATAGTTGAACTCCAAGAATAGAAATAAAAGGTTAAAACCCAAAAGCATTGAGTTTTCTTCCCTTTTGGCATTTTTCTATATATTTAAACATTTCAATCATTATATTTAAATATTTAATATATTTTTTACATGTTTTCTTCAATTTTTTATATTTTATTATCTTATTTAATAAAAATTTCCTGTATATAATTATTTTAATTGTGATGTCATAAGTTGATCCTATTTTGATTAATTAATTTCTTGGTTGTCAAATAATCAAATCATTGGAGTTAATCCAAGCTGGACTCATTAAAATGAATTTTTGTTATTTATTCCATTTGTTGATGTATTAAATATGTTTGTAACTACAATTTTCAATGATTGTTGCTAAAGATTCAATGGCATTCATTTAAAGATAGAATTCGCAACGGTTGATCCCCATTAGTTTCCAATTCACTAATTTAGGGACAACAAAAGGTGGTAAGCTTTGTTTCCAATTCATTGCTTTAGCAACAGTTATAGATAAAATGAACAATAATTAGGTAGTTTTTGTCGCCAATTCATTTGACTTAACAACAACGTTGATCAATTGTTGTTAATGCTTATCTTTTGGCAACAACCATTTGCAACTGTAATGAAGTGCTTATTGTCAAAGGTCAATTTTCTTGTAGTGTAAGTGTTACTATCCCTAGTAGAAGTAGTTTTCTGAATTTTACCCAAAATATAGATGGATTGATTAGGTTTTGTCTAATTAAATGAAACTATATGAGTGGTTTAGACTTTCTCAACCTTAACATCCATATCAAATCATTTTGTGAGCTAATCAGATTTGGGTTCTAATTCTAATT